AACAACATCTATATTTGGTCTCACAATGAGAAATTTCATCACCAAAGCAAACCTTAAATCTTCAGATAGGCGCTTCTCTTCCATATCTGTAAATACGAATCCAAGCTCTCCGTTGATCATCTCTGGACCTCTCATCTTGATGGTTGTGCCCGCTGTTGGCACCATCAGAAATTTCCATTTTTCTCACTCGAATTAACTATCTCCAAGTACAACCTCTTCTGTTGCATTCCAATCGAACTCCCAACTATCTGTACACTTGGTTTTATCTTTCAAATGGTTACTATACTTCAATTGATTTTCAATTTGTCAATGAACTTTAAAAATGGTTTTAAATTAGTCACCCCATTAAATTAATAAAGTTGCATGCATATCAAGTGGCGTCGCTTATGCGGAGCCTCATCAACCATTTCAAATCGATCGCTGAACTTTTTACCCATGTTTTAAATCGCTTGCTTACTTGACAATAATAAAATTATAACCTAAAGTACTATGCCTATGTGATCGAATTAAAAATAGAAGGTTATGCCCAAAATCCTCTTATGTGAAAGAAAAATGTACAAGATATCAATTATTTTTTAGTTGATTTAATTAGGAATTTTACCAACATGATCTAATTTTTTTTTGAAGAATTCTTAAGGAACTGTATAAAACTTTTGAAAAAGTGATAATTATTGTACGTCACTTTCATAATCCAACATAAATTAATAATTCAATTCAATTTTTGTATGGGGATATAAAGTCTATGGATTTTGCAGTAGTGTGAAAATTGTGGCATAAAATACCATGAACTTCGTTAAATGTTGCAATCCATTTAAATTGAAGGTTAGGTAAGATTTTAAAGCCAGAAATTTTAGGTGTTTTATTTATTTTTGTTTTTTGTCATTTTGTAAAGTCCAGTAACTAGTTGGAAATAAAATTGAAGTCTAGCGACCATTTTTAAAAGTGGATAAAAAGATTGATGATCGATTTCAAACAGTTAGCCGTTGACAAGACTCCACATAAGTAAAGAAATTTGACATTTATGCAGCTCAGTTAATTTAACTGATTGATTGATCAATATGAATCGATTTTTAAAGTCTATTAACAACTTGAAAACAAATAGAAGTTCAGTGACCGTTCTAAAACGAGAGACAAAGTTTCGATGATAGATGATGTATTCTAATCATAACGTTCATCATTTTTTACGGCAACTAGTAATTATGTGAGATTGCATTAGTAGTACTTAGTAATAATTCATGTGGTTGTGTGACAATAATTTTATTGTCACATAAAGTAAGTATTATTGATACTAAGCCTGTTATTTAGTGTAGATTAAAAATTGATAAAAATCACAAGTCAAAATCAACAATTAATTTTAATTACATATTTTATAAGATTTACAATTTTACATTCATCAACTCATCAAAAGTCATTAAAAAATTAATTTTAATCCACGCGAAGGACGAAATAGCATTATTATTTTGCTTCTGCAAGTTGGATGACTTTCATTTCATTTGGTTTCAAGTCGTCGTCACTTTCTTTCAAGTTCGATGAATTTGTCACAAAAAATCAAAAAGCCGTAATTAATGATAAGATAACATGAAAGGATATTATTTACACTATTCTAACATTGACAATTCGTATCCCCAAATTATGCCCTCGTTTGGTAGTAATTTTTTACTCACAAAAAATTAAACTTTTTATCATTATTTCACTATTTCAATCATTATTTTTTATATTTTCACTCATAGGCAAAATTTATTTCCCTCTAATGATCAAAAAATCAATTCTCATAATCACTATTGAACATGTCCTATAAAAAATTGGACCCCCACTAACTAGGAGAACTTGAAGATTTGATCTTTTAAAGCCCATTAACCTGCTACTAAAATTAGCCACTGAACCCTTCACTTCCTGCAAATTTGAAGCTAGTGATGACATACACGATAAAATTACTTTGAGGAAAATGACTTCTTGATAGAGTCTGATCCTCTAAATAAAAATATTTAACGATAAATGTTAAAATCCGTGGTACCTTACTATTTATCTCGTGTAGTACAAAACTTACTCAACATGAGATTTCATCGTCTTAAGATCGCCATTCATGAACAGGCTATTCCCATAAAAATAAAATTATTCAAGATAGAAGTTGAGGACAAATGTAGTATTGGTTGAGAATAAATTTATTGAGAAATCTATTTCATAGTGAATTTTCAACAAAAATAAGACATACACATAATTTTACATGATATCTGTCTTTTGGCAATAAGAATGCTGAATTGGACGATACGAACAATGAATATGAATTGCTCGTACGAACCATCACTTTAGCTACAAAATGTAGTTCAACTGGTGTTAGGGGGTCGTGGGCCAGCTCGACTCGCTTTGACCCTCGCCGTTTATAGAATTTATTTATTTATTTATTTTTTTACCAACGAATTTCTCTTAAAATTCTCCTGTCTAAATGTTGTTGGTATCTTTTATTTTGTTATGTTTATTTATCAACTAATTTCAGAGGTAACTCATACTAATCAGACTATTTATCTTCATTAAAAATATCAACATCTAAACTTGTTTATAAATAAAGTTCAATATTAATGTTCACAGAGAACCTCTATTATTCTGAAAAACACTGAAAATTAGAAATAGCATATTAAAATTGGATTCCATAATTAAAATAGTTCAAGAAATTACTATTATTACCATAAAAAGACTGAGGTGTGGACAATCAGCCTCAATGTTACTTTTCTATATTGATTCAACTTTCTATTTTCTAATTTGGTAAAATACAAACCCGCCTTACAAATTCCTCTATATCAACACCAATAACGCAACTATAACCAAAGGAAAAGCAACAATTCCTTTTTTTTTTAATATAATTATTTGACAAATAAAAATATGAAGTTCCATAGCTAATATGTCTGTAAATTTAAAAGAAGTAACAAAAAATAACTAAAGAGTTATCTATGTTAGTAATTATAAAAATTAAATGGTGAATAACAAAATATTCCCCGGATGTAATTTTTTTGCGACCAAATTTTAAATTATTGAACTCCATAGGGTGGTTAAATCTCTATTTAATATTAATATCGACACATTAATATATTCACAAAAATATAAATGTAATTGTACCACATAATTCCTAATCTTCATCTAGTATTTATATTTGCTAAAGTAATGTATTTTTTATTTTTACCATACGAATTTTCTTTTCAATTATACATATCATTATCTTTGTTAGATATCAATTTGATTGGAGTAGATATACTTTTTAATAGGAGTGGGCATTTTTTCTCGGAACCGTTTAGAACCGATCGGTTCGATTCCAGATCTTCTAAACAACGATTTGATTTTGGCACAAATTATTAAGAACCAATCGGTTCCGGTTCGATTCCCGGTTCTAGTATGGGAACCGTCGGGAACTGTGCGGTTCTCATAGGATTTTTTTTTTTGGCAAAATATATGACTCAATCTCTAATCATTTTTATAAAAAATAATCGGACTCCTTCTCCATTTTAGACTTTAGCACTTCCTTCACTTTGATTCTTTCATTCTCTCTTCTTATAATTTTTTGATTATTGATTCTCAAGCCAAATTAGAATATTGGTCTCTTGTTTGAGCCCCATTCTTTTCATAAAAATGAATTTTTGAATTGTGTATTGATAAGAAATGTGTGGTTAAAA